TTCTCATTTGTCCAGTCTTTCCTCAGATTGTGCTCCTATCTATCCCCCATATCCATACAGACACTCTCTCCCTTTAAATTAGGTCAGCTAGTCACCAAGCAGAAGCAGGTGATACAGACATGACCAGAACAATAGCAATTGCTCATTAAACTTTCAACATCTCCCTTCACAACAAACATGCACACCCAAGCAGAAACTTTTCGGTCCTGATAGTCTTGCTATCACCACAATAGATGCTTTCCTCCAAGTGAGGGGCATAAAATAAGTTCCAGAGGCATGATTGTTTGTATAAGTTCAGGTCCTATCTGGAAAGCCACTCTTGGCTATATTACTTTCTTCTGAGGAAGGTGTTGCATTGTGGAAAGCATGATGGGAAGAAAGCACCTGCTAGTGTTGACAATTTGTACTGGGAGTAGCAGGATTGGTGCTTAAAGTTATAGGCAGATGCAATCCATCCATTTGGATGAAGCAGAATATATGCATCTAAATCATGTGTATAAAACGTCTTGGAATTAAGAAATAAATTTTCCTCGCCAAACTGTCAGAGCAGCCTCACCTCCAGTGTGTTCCCCAGTGCGCTTAAGCCCATATCCAACCCCTAAAAGTGGCAATGGGTCCAAGCACGGCAGAAGTTGGTTCTTGGGAATATTTCAGGGGAAAATGGCACTGGCTTGATATATAGAGAGCATCAAGTTTCAGTTAGTAGGTTTTCCAAAGCTTTCATTTATTTGCTACTAAGCAAGACATCTTGTCATGAGACTTTACCTATATGTTTTCAATCTGAGCTAAAAGTTGTGGTGTTGCTGTTAGCTGAGTAGTGTGTATTTGTTTTTTGAGTCAAGTATTTTCAGATTTACTTCAACATTCACCTTCATCAAGAAATCTGCCCCTCCAAGTTCTGCCCATCATTTTAGAGGAGTTTTTTTTTAGGGTGTTTGATTTTAGCTGCAGTGTTTCCATGTTACTAGAGGGGGGAAATTAAATCCCCATTCTTTTCTCTTGCTGCAGGTTGTGAATGCTATGTTGCAATTTCCCCCTCTCTTTATTCTCTGGATACTTGTCTTCATTTCCCCAAGACTCCCAAGATTTGTACAGTGTCATAAAACCATGAGTTTTAATTTTCTAGCTGCTAAACTCTAGTTTCATTCTGCCTCTTCTCAGATTTAATTTTTGCTTCTATAGCTTTCTTGCAGACCAGATAACGTTTTTATAGCATCTCTTCCAACCTTGCTTGCTGAGATACCACGACCTATTTTATCTAAGTTGCCTCCTCCTCTCGCTCTAAATGATCAAGGATCTTGTCAAACCATTTCTGCAGGGCTGCAGAGTTTCCCCCTAAAATATCTTTTGAGTTATGGGACCTAATTTCTCCACCAGTCTGACACTGCAAATGCACATGATCAGTCTATTATTCAGTTGATTGTGAGTATCTCAGTTATTTTAAAAGGTTGTTCTCTCTCTCTTCAACTGTAGTTTATCTTTGTGTTATCCAGTCTTTCCCAATTTCATTTTTCTGAGCCATATTAGAAATGTACCTTTCCACAGCATTATTACACCTTTTATACCTCTCTGGTTTGCTTAGTGGGTCCCCCCCCCCATTTTAGTGTAAAAAGTATCATCATTAAATGATAGAAAGCACAAGTAGACCCTCAGATGTCTCTGTCACCCAGTTTAACATTCTTGTTCAGCTGTCCACATTTTTCTCAGTATAGCTCACTTTCCCGCATTTTCAGTAAGCTGGATTCCATCTAATCTATCAGTGGGTTAGTGGCATCCTTTGCCTGGTGCTCCTGATTCAGTTTCAGATAAATGCCTTTTCTTCCATTCAGCTGAGGTTGCGGTATTTCCTGATTAATTTTAAACTTTTAATATTTATATTCCACCTTTCCTTTAAGGAGTTTGTGGTGGCATACATGGTTTTTCCTCCTCCTCTCCATTTTATTCTCACAACAACCCAGAATAATATACTATGAAAACTTAAGTACGGTAAACACCAGCCAGCAAGGAATATCATTCCCAGCAGGCCCTGACCTTGCTTTCCTATCCTGCTTAACTGATCTGAGCTTTGGACATCCGTATCCTGTTCATGTCCCTACTTGTAAAGGCCCTAGAGAATATTGAGGCTAGTCAAAACAGAAACAGCCGTTTTCAGAATTATTTATTATGCATTTATTTATTAAATTTATATTCTGCTCTTCTTCCCAAAAGAGCCTTAGATGGTTGGTATGTTCATTGTTAGCCACAAACATTAATTTACTATTAATATACAGTACAATTAATAAGAGGAAGTGAAATACAAAACTATGAAATACTGTGACTGGTTAATGTATAAAATATTGGCTAAATTATTGATCCTGCTTTCCTTGGTTACATGCCACCTTTGACCAGGGTTGTTCTTCAATAATAATAAAGGAAGTTCTTGATGTCTCTTTGGTTTGTCCACAGCTGTACCAGCTGAACACGTGCCCCCTCCCTCTTTTCTCCTTTTCTTTCTTTGTCATCCCTCTGCCTCTCCCTCTTCTTCACAGATCTTCTCATTCTCCTTTTTTATCAATTCCAATGGAACCTGCAGGGTCCATGTGTGCCGCTCACCCTTAACAATACATAACAATAAATTCCAATAGGGTGTTCCCATTTTATCAGCCCTTCAAGCTGCTGAATTCTTAGGAAATGCAGAGCTTTAGTCAGTTGTTTCCTACCCACAGTAAAGAAATCACTGGCAAGGAAGCTGCACAAACTGAAAACACAAGTGCAGTTGACAGAGATTCACCTTAAAAATATGTGAGATCTTAAATAAAAGGTTTCCATTATTGAGTTAGGAAGAAAAGCACACAACTAATGGAATAGAGACAAAATTTAGGATAGAGATGAAACATTGGAGAGTTAGTTTTAAAATATTTTTGTTAAGATTTGTGAACCTTTAGGAGTGGACTTGTACAACATCTAACATACATTAATAAATGAGGAGAAGATGGGGAAACTGCAGAAAAAGCACAAATAGGTGCCTCTAAGGAAACATGGACTAGGTTGCTGCTAAGAGTCCATATGTTAGTGGTTCACGAGAACTTAAACATTGCCTTACTTGATCAGATGAAAGACCTGTATATTCAGCATTCTGACTCCATTGGCAGTCAGGCAGTTGCCTTAGGAAGATTCATAAGCAGGGCATGGTGGTGATAGCATATATTGTTGCTTGTCCCAGCATCTGGTAATTAGAAGATGCTATGTCTGAACACATGGGTAATAAATCATAGATAAATCTGTCCTCTGTGAATTTGCACTTATCCTCTACAAACATATTTGAACCAAACAATTACTTACAGGAGCTAGTACCGTGTTGTGTACTGGATTATTATTTATATGTTGCAGCTGGAAGGAACATTTATAAAATTCACATGGAGTTTGTCTTGGAAATTCCTTCCTCTGATGACTAGTTTTAGCAGTGTTATTTAATGTCTGTGGAATATCTTTTGGGAAGGCTCTGTAGATTGTATACATTGGTTTGGGTGTAATCTGCATGTGTGTTCTAAAGTGTCCTGGAAATTCTGTGGATGCAAAATATCACACGAAGAAGGCTCTCCAGAATATCTGATTGAGGAAGAGCAAGCATTTTAAACTAAGTTGTTTGAGGAAACCTAAGAGTGGGACGCGGGTGGCGCTGTGGTCTAAACCACTGAGCCTAGGGCTTGCCGATCGGAAGGTCGGCGGTTCAAATCCCCGCGACGGGGTGAACTCCTGTTTCTCGTTCCCTGCTCCTGCCAACCTAGCAGTTTGAAAGCACATGCAAGTAGATAAATAGGTATCGCTCCAGCGGGAAGGTAAACGGCGTTTCCGTGCGCTGCTCTGGTTTGCCAGAAGCGGCTTAGTCATGCTGGCCACATGACCCTGAAGCTGTACGCCAGCTCCCTCGGCCAATAAAGCGAGATGAATGCTGCAACCCCAGAGTCATCTGCAACTGGACCTAACAGTCAGGGGTCCCTTTACCTTTTACCTAAGAGTCAGCTTAATGAAGTTGGCTGATTTGAGCTGCTTAGAGCTTGGCACATATTTATTTGGTCATACACAGGTGCTTAATGAAATAAACCTGTGTTTTCAGAGCCTTCCTTATCTTGAACTGCCACAACTACTTCCCTCTATCCTGTTTTACCAAGCAACTTCAGTTCGCCAAGCCCTTTCACCCAGACAACACATGTAGCCAGCAAGCTAGGGTTGCTCTGATCGGTTTCATGTCCATGTGTGTATATATTCACACCACTTCCTCTGATTGGGGCAATGTAATTAGCTCTTGCATTCTCAGCATACCTGTCACCTCCTAATGAGGGCTCCATAAAACAACATCCCATGATCCAGTTTCCTGCAGCACTTCTGGCCAGTTGTAAATCTCAGCTTTTACAATTTTGGGACAGCAAAACAGATGGAATAACTTTTTTGTTTGCGGGTCTGCCTTTCGGGACAGTATTTGATTTCCTTTGTATAATCTGCATTCTTTAAATAAAATAAAGTAAAGATAAATAATAAAAGTAAAATTATCAGTGCTTTACTAGATCCTACATAGCACTCAGACATGCACAGTTCTGTCCAGGACCTTGCCTTCATGGTGACAGGGATAAAGGTAAAATGCTGAAGGAGAGAAGAATGGTGTGGATTATTGCACCAAATAGGATACATCCTTCCTCTATGTATGTCATTGTGAAGAATCATGTAGCGTTAGGGCTAAGGCAGTGATTATTAGATGTGCATATTTCCTGATCCAAGGACATAAACCCACCACACTTGCCAAACATGTTTTGTTTGACTTGGATTGGGATCTTTCCGATTTGGACAGAAAAGTCAGAAGAGTGCAGTTCAATTCAGTCCTGTGTTTAGCAAAGTGTTGGGGTTAGGCAAAGGTTCATTTGCCTAGTAAGAATCATTCAAATCTCACCTTGAAAGGTATTTGAAAGGCATTGGGGGGGCGGAGTTCTTTTTGTCCTGGTGCCTTCCCTTTAGGGTTACACAGAGTGGATCAAAATGAATGGGAAGGATAAGTTAACACTGGCGTGATCGGTAGTGACTTTTAAGTGTGAAGCATTAAGGGCTATTTGGGAGAGCTGTTTTTTCCTGTTTGTTTGTTAATTTATTTTTATACTCCCCCCCCCCCCCCGATTTTGACAATGTTGTCTGGTTCTTTATGAGGTGGCACCAGGTCAGCAACTGGAATGCCCATCTTCCATTTCAATCTGAACTTCTCAGTGTGTCATTCTTTCTTGGGAGCACTACACTCTTTTCTAGGAATAGCTACAACACTGGGTTTTATTAATAATGCTTGCTTTAGCTTGCACTGTGCTGTCCCTGTCTAGAATGCCGGACTTGATTATTTTGGGGTCTGGTTGTGCATTCTCCATGTGAAAGTGATGGCTTATTAGCGATTGTACATTCTGTGGGAAGAAAGGACTTGCTGACATTCTAACCATCTCCACAACTTGGATGAGAGAACTAAATGAATTGCTGCCTCTCTTTCCCAAGTTTCAGTGTTTGTCACAAAACATGAGAAAATGGTGCTAGATGAATGAGCGCTAACTAAATCTCATCAGTGGAGCAATTTACCATCAATAAATTTAGATGCTATGGCGGTAGAAGCATTTCCAAAGGTGACTGCTTTAAATCACTTAGTGGTTGTATTAAACACCTTAAATCACTTATAATAGTGATCGTATTAAACAGCTGGTGCCAGCAAGGATAATCTGCATATAAATACAGGCTTTCCACAGCATCCTTTTTTGGATTGCATCTCTTGCACACAACCCACTACTTAGGGCTGCACATAACCTTGATTGCCACTCTTAGAGCTGACAGCCTTGACAATCATCCATTTGTACAGGGGAATGGACTGAAGTCAGCTCCCCTTTTCTCTCCCAGCAGGTGATCAGCGCACTCTCAGAGTTTGACACCACCATCTGTCCAGCAGGCCCATGCACGGCAATCCTTGTGCATGATAGCCTGTGTATAGCTCATTGCTCTGGACTAGAGTATGTGATTTAGAGCTGTAGAACGGATGCAAAGTAGATCTAAAAAAATAATAGTCATGGGCTAAATGATATTAGAATATTATTTTAATAAGCATTGACCCATTTTGATTTTTGCGACACATGCCAGATAAGCACTTAGGAATGATGGAAATGCTATTTAAATTATATACATATAGTGCTTAAATGGTATGTTAGTATTAGGGGTTTTTTTCCTGTGACAGCCTTCCCCAATGTGGTGTCCTCTGGATGTTTTGGCATACAGCTCTTTTGATTCCACACTACTGGATAGTTGTAGTCCAAGCAATCAGGAGAGCACATTAGGGAAGGATGACCTAGAGAATCAAAAGTAATTCAGTTTCAGTTTAGGTTCCAATCCTCAGTGGGTTTTTCTTTTAGAGCTTATCAACAAAAATGAGAAACTCTGATTTCCATCCTCCGTCCACCTTTAAGGTGATCAGAGTTCCTTTCTCTCTCACAATGCAATCCTGTGCATGTTTACTTGGAAATGTCCTGTTGTGTTTTTGTCATAAATGTGTTCAGGATTGCAGCCTTAATCTGGGTACAAGGACTAGGAGGAAACAATTGCGAAAGGCTGCTTTGGAATATTTCTCAGTTATATAGTTTGATGATTCAGTGTTAGGGCATGTAAGAAAAAAATGAGAGGCATTAGGGAACATTTTTTGATCCTGTCCAAGAATTCGCTAGGGGCTAGGAATCATAAGGCTGTTTTTTAAAAATAAGGTTAGGTCCCCTGTGTTCTGACCGCAAGCATGCTTTAGCATAATCAGATTGCTCCAGCGATATGAATGGTATGGTGCCCAGTAAGATGGTGTTGGAGAGTAAACAAGGGAAACTGAGAGCTAAGACCTTTGGACTCTTTGTTTCTTGCTGTTAAAAAAAAACTTAATGGGGAAAAACAAGTTGCTAGGAATATGGAATAATGGAATAACGAAGGTTTCAAAATAAGGTGTGTCTCCTTCTTCCAGCATCCTTGTAGCTACCGGTATATCTTCTTGTAACTGATTATAGAATCATATCAACACCAGCTCTCCAGGGGAAGTATAACGTATGGTTCTGGGAACCGGGATACATAGCTCCAGCCTTGCACATGTGTGCAAACTTTCTATTCTAATATTTTCCTTCTTAGGAATAGAACCAAAGATATCCCAAAGTATAATAACTCAGCCTCAAATTGTACATAATGGCTTTGCTGGACACTCAAATACAGGGATTCTTGAGCTATAAACTTTTTAAGATTTAAAACTCTGCCAGTGCATTAAAAGAAGAAAATGCTTTTTGCTATATATATTTATTGTACAAAAAAAATCTAAAAAAGGACAAAGAGAAAATGGAACAGAAGCAATGGTTATGATATACTGGACAGACTAAAGCCAGTTACAGAACAAATTTAGTTTATACAACACAGAAGAGAAATATAGCCAAGGCAATCCTTATTTGTGTTTGCTTTCCTCTAATTTTCTTTTTCTAAGATGTATGTGAAATAACAGCTGTTACAAGATCCAGTTGTTCTGACCCCAGTTCCTCATAAATGAGTGCCATCTTAATTTAATTTTTGTGTTTTCAGTCAGTAACCCCTATGGGGCAGGAGAGATTAGAAAATATGTGCAATGGTGGATTTTTGGCAAAGCGAACAGCTAGGAGCTTGTTCAACTGAGAGAGGAATACTGTTTTCACGGTAAAAGGTCTGTGACATAATTCTTAACTAACTCTAAATTTGTTAAGTGAAACAGACCATAACTGTGTCAATTTGATAAATGGCAATGAAACCATGTAAAAAAACAGCATCAAAAATAGGGTATGATATGGCATGATTTTTGAAGGCAGCAAAATGCCAGCAGAATTAGATTGGTTTCTTTTTTCCAATAAATAGGTACAGTGGTACCTTGGTTTACGAACTTAATCCGTTCCGGAAGCCCGTTCTTAAACCAAGGCGTGCTTTCCCATAGCAGCGGGGGACTTAGTTTACAAATGGAACACACTCAACAGGAAGCGAAACATGTTCTGCTTCCAAGGCAAAGTTCACAAACCAAAACACCTACTTCCAGGTTTGCAGCTTTCTTAATCCAAGTTGTTCATAAACTAAGCCGTTCTTAAACCAAGGTACCACTGTACTGAAAAATTTACAGAGAACTCCTAACACTCAGATCCACTGGCTGGAGGGGTTAGGATTAGGCAGAGGTGCCTCTCTATCAGCAAAGAAGCATTCTGCTTCTAGGCAGATCACTTCAGCAGTGGGGGCTCTCACCGTACCCATAGAATGCTGCATGGACATTGCAGAGTGGAGATGGGGTTGGGGTGAATTTGAGTCTACTAGGTTAAAGTCCCCTTCATTCTCTTGAGAGAGGCCCAACGATCAGGTTCTCTCCACCTATGTTAGCCTAAAGCTGGTATAAATAATTTCCCCCACTGGCATCAAAAAAAATCCACCACTTCACACCCCACCCCACTTAGAGTAACTGTCAGTCATTTCTGTGCCTTTACGTTTTCCTCATTTCTGGATTCTGTAATTAAGTCTCATACTACTGGTATAAAAGATATCCCTGTTCCACAGATGATACAGAGATAAAGCTAATTTGCCTCAAAGTTACACCAAAATTGATGCTGAAGCTTACAGAAGAGTTAAATAGTTTTAAGAGCAAGCCCTTTAGTACTAAGTATTATGCCATCCATTCTCCTGTTGACACATTCTTGACTCGCAGGCAACAGCAAAAAACTGTCTTTCTAGGACTCCTCTTTTCCCCATAAATGAGGCACAATCTGTAATTGTGCTAAAAGTCTAACTTCAGCCTCTTCTCCCAGACTTAATTATTTGGCATGGGTTCTTCTCGCTCGTCCATGACAACTTGGGGGAAACTAAAGCTAGCTGGACATTGGTTGACTAATTCTAAACTATTAAAGATCTTCAGAAAGATTTGATAGCAAGAAGAAGTACATAAATGGCCGGTAGGTGTTTATTTCACTGAGAAATCAGCTAGTGAGTTAGTTTGCCCTATGAGCATTGTATTCAGTAGCATGGCAGTAACAAGACACTTTGTGGCTTGGAAGTCAGATATAACAATGTGTGGTTGCTGAGATGGCAGAACTACGCAGTGTATTGCCTTCGGCAGGAAAGGATTCGACACCAAGATTCATATGCACTAATCTTCACACACAGCCATTACAAAAAGAGAAAGCACAGACATAAAAGTATCTCTTCTTGAGCTCTAGGGTGTGTCACAAAAGGGAAAGCCCATCCTAGTCTCTTTAAATTTTCTTTAACCTTCTATAGTGCAAATGGTACCTTAGCCCAAAGCAGTCTTTCAATACAGACAATTTTTACAGTGAACATTCAGCATTTTTAAGTCCAGATGCTTTGCTTCACTCCTGCAAAGTCTCTGAGGCCTCCTCAAATGTCCTGATAGGATGGCCTCTTGCTTCCAAAGTGAACTGGTATCCCTTTTGTAGAGAAAGGCAGCCATTCAAGATGTTGGTGGATAGGTGTGAATGGGACGCACACTGCCCCAATACAACAGAAGTCCCTGTTGATTAACACCAGCCATGGACCTAAAACCAACTTGCACCTTTTGGGGAAACTAAAATGACTATATGGCACGATGCATGCTATAGTGGCATTAGCTTTCCTCTCAGAATCCCAGTTTCCCCTCATTGGCAGTCAGTCTCAAGACAGCCAATGGGTTTCCATCTGGAAAGGTTGAGATGACAGCTATGCACGTCCCACATGCAGGACTGGAGTGAAAAGCTCTGAACTCTTATTTTTTTATATTTTAATTTTTTTATATATTTTTACATTTTTATTTTGTTGTTCAAGTGCTGTGTTTGGTCATGTGATCAAAACAAACAAACAAAAACAATCTTAACCAGTGAATGGCCTTTTGGTCATGTGATTTAAAAAATACTTTGCCTGTGTCACTTGTCATCCTCAAACTCATTTCTTCATTTCATACCCACAGGCACATGCGCTCACATGCTCACACTCGCGCTCACACTCACTCATACACCCCTATGACATTTATGCACAGTAACATCAACAAAAAAGTTAATAATAATAATATACTTGTAGGACTGATATTTACATGCATACATCCAAAAATAGCCATGCCTGTTTGCCTTTTGTGAGTCAAATTACCCAAAGCAAAATACTATCCCATCAAAGGAGCCACTAGTAGCAGGTGAATTGGAATTATCTTTCTAGTTTAGCACCATTGGGCAGTAGATGGGTAGGGTGGGGAATCAAACCACCCAAATCCCAGAAAGAAAACATCCACGTTTCAGGTGAGACCTGCCCATCTATTTTGTGTACCGTACTTAATGGGTAGGCTGCATTAGTGTTTAACAGGAAAAGAACAGTAAAATGGACTGTATCATTGCAGTCCTAAGCGCACTTACCCCAAGGTAAGCATTGCTGAACATAGCAGGGCTTATTTCTGAATAAGCATTCATGGGATCAGGTTGCACGCCTCTCAAAACAATCCTTAATGGCATTTGTTCTACTGGGACTTTTATCTCCACATGTGAGATTTAGGAATAGATTCTCCATCACTCTTCAGATACTCTATTATCAGGAATGGGGAACCTTTGGCCCTCCAGGTGTTGATGGACTACAGCTCCCATCATCCTTGACCATTAACCGTGCTTGCTGGGTTATAAGAACCAGGAGTCCAACTATATGTGGAGGGCCCTGGGGTCCCTGTGTCTGCTCTATATTAATGAGGAACGCATTAACCAAAACACAATGAACTGGCCTTGGTAAAAAAATAATAGATTATGAAAAAAATGTTCTCCAGTTATCAGCCATTCCCTCAACAATCCCTTCTGACCATAGTCTCTGTGATGTACAAATGCATCTAATGAGCTACTTGTACGCATATCCCAATACAGTGATTCCATCCCAATACAATTAATCGCATATTCTGTGTTAACCCTAAACTTCAGCTATTTTCAGCTAATCATTTTGAATGTCTGCTGTTATAACAAGTTTTTAAAATGTGTCCTGTTTCTCTACTGACTATGCAAGCAAGTCACAGCAATGAACTGTTTTTTGGAAAACTACACTGCATTCAAAAATAGACATTTGGAGATGTCCCATTGGAAGAAGCCCAACTCCTAGGGATCCAATTTGACCATGATCATCTCAGTTTTCCACAATGATGTGTATATATCCCTCAACCCCCTACAGCTGAGCAAAGCCACCAACAGGAAATTATATTTAATGAAACATAGTTTTGTCGTACACTTCCCCCCCTCTGCGTCTCGCAACAGGGAAGAGTTGTGTAGTGCAAAGTATGTGGCCCTGTGCCATAGCAGTTCAACTAAGAACAACTTCTTAAAGCAAGATTAAAATTAAGTATCTGATAACATAACAGCAAAATAAACCCTGGCTGGTCTTGGCAGATTTCAAACTGGGTTCTAGGAAAGAGCATTTTTGTGGAACATTTGTTGCGACGGTCCTCTCTGAATGGATATTTTGTGTAATAATATCTGCTAGATATTAGATAGCTGAGTGAGGTAATATGCCACAGCAGTGAGGATTATCACATTGATTCATGCTTTTCCTATCACAGATTAACAGTCATCTGCATGTTATTGTCAAATTCCTTTTTCAATTCAAACATTCTGATTTCAGTCCCAGAAACAAAACTCAAGCCTGCTTATTGATTTTAAAACAAACTGCACAACTATCTTCCTACTCTGTTTTTATAGAATAGTGCCAGATATAACGGTCTGAGAGTATGACACTGCTAACCTGAAATCTCACTTCTATACACTTCCCTCTTTTCAGCTTCCAACCACAATTCATTCTAAAACAATAACAGAACACATAACTCTGTTTTATGCGTGACATAAAACCAGTGATGTGGCCACTGCAACTGAATTCGAACTCATGTTCTACTTCTTTTTATACTTCCAGAAGCAGAGAGGCAAGGGGCTGGAAGACAAGAGTTGTAACAGGATACTAGCTAGAATTGCCTCCTGTATACTGCAAGACCAGTTCAAGACCCGCTTTGCTTTCTAAGCATGAGTAGATACTGTACACTTAAACACTTTAGAAAGCAAACATGAAAGTTCCATCCTTTGGACAAAAGGTAACACTGAGTTTCTCAATCCCCTAGTCCTTTATCACAGCCAGTGTTATACCTGTGTGTGTCATATATCAGTAACTTGGCTCTCTAGAAAGCACAGCCTCATTAAATTAGTAAAGCATGCTGTTGCCAGTGTGAATTGGATTTTCATGGTTTAGGTACGTCAGGTCTGTTGGACTGAGGAGGCTGTAGGCACAGTCCTTCTGAATCTGTTAAGAAAATGGGTTCATCTACACTGTCCTGATTGTCAAATTGACCTTGTTGCCAGAGTGGGTAATGATAGCAGTGGTGTTTGCATACCTAAGTGCTGGCTGGGGAGGAACAATAGAGATCCAGGAAGAAAAGCAACTGTATTTCAACTAACGTTAGAAGAGGAATAATGTCAGATGTTCTTTGTATTAAGGAATGAACTAGATGGGGAAAGAGATCGGTACCTGATTATTTCTTTTCCTTTAAAAGTCATTTCCCTTTTCTGTACCTCTTCACCAATCTCTAGTGGGGGGCCTTAGCTCCTTAACTCACAAGCTGATCAATATGCTATATATCTATCTATATATATATCTATGATAGATAGATAGATAGATAGATAGATAGATAGATAGATAAAGATAGATATCTCCTGCTGTTCTGCAGAGAAGAAGTGGCATCCCTTAAAGATCACTTGGTAAAGTCAATGGCATCAATCAAGGAATCCCATCTCACATCTTTTCTTTCAACCCTCTGGTCCTATGCTCTTTCCCAATTCAAGAAGAAATCCTACAAAGCTAATATTTTCCAAAGGGAAAAGCAGAGGCACGAAGCAGAGGTAACAGTGCTTCATTAAAGTATTGCTGAAAAAGTGACTTCTTTAGTACATCTGGCAAAGGCCCACAGCAATGGAATCCTTCAGAGAAAGAACAAGAACAAATGAAATCGATCATCATTTTCCATTGCATCAAAAGGACTAGTGACACTTCTTCAAATACCAGATTCTCTGCAGACTTCCAGAGAAAGCTCTTCCGATCAATCACAACAATTAGAGATTTATTTCTTTTGATTCCTCAGGAACTGGAGAGAAAAAAGAATGGCATTGCTCTACATCACCATGTAGTAACTGCTCAGATTCCCCATTAATAAAAAATAGCAATTCCACTCATGTCAAATTGCTGGGATATACTTTTGTTAGATAAATCTCACAGTAAAAAAACATGTAGTAAGTACACTTCTCTTCCCTCAGCTTTTTATTCTAAATACAGTATATTTTAATATGAAACTAGCAAGATATGCCCTTCATATTTCTGATATTCTCTTTTGTGATGCTTGGTGGCACACTATGAAGGAAACTATAATTTAGTTTCTGTTGTTTTTAATCTACCGATCCACCCAAAATACAAGCTGCAGAAAAAGGAAATGAAGGTAACAAATACAGCATATTGAGAACTTAAAAGCTTTGGAGTCACCTGAAAGAATCCATGTGACCCCAAACCATTGAAGAACGAAGGATTCCTGGGTTAAATCCAGACATGGGCTTCCATCTGCAGAGCTGCTGTCCTGTATATACTTAAGCTAGCTAGTTCATTTGCACAAAGTTAAGTTAATGTAATTTAGCATAAGAAAAGGTAAGTTTGAGTGCTTTGAAAAAGAGTGAAGCGCTTCAGTCCATAAGTGCTAGAGAGAGGCAGTGTAGCGCAAAAAAGAGAGCTGATCTCTGTGCAACCTTGAGCAAGGGACTGTTCCCTTTTTTGGATTTTAGGGTTTAAACCCATGAGAAGTGCTAAGATTTTGCTTAGCTAGGGCAGCATTGAACTCCCTAGCAACAGGGTAAGAGGCAGGGTAGGGAGTTAAGATTTTCCGCAGCGTCTCATCCTATGCACCTTCATCCAAGCCTTCATTCAAAGTTTGCCCAACATTCTGGTACCCTGTAACTTCAGATCAGGAAGGCAAAGATTCCATAGTATGTATCGACCTACAAAAGGACCAAAATTTGTCCATACAAGAATTGAACTGGGTGGTGATGTACACAGCTTCTTTAATACAATAAGTGCTAGATTTGGAAAGGTGGTAATCTGTAGGATGAATTAGTTCCTGGTGGTCTAATCCGATTCTTTAGCCATCACATCCACAGTTGGTATATCTGTGAAAAAGCAACTTCAGGAGAAGTCGAGTGACATAGTTTAGCTGCTTTCATGCAATAGAACAGCTGTAATTCTGGCAAACAAGTTGATGGTTGGCTCAAAAGAGTCTTGCCAAAAAATTTGAACAAACACTTGGCTCCAGGGTCTGCTACAGACTCCCCTCCAGTCCATCACCCCCACACCCAGGTTCCAGACCCATGACAGAAATTTCTGAAGGGTTGCATCATGCCACACAGCAGCTCGCTAGACAGCCCAAGCAGAGAAGTGGAGAAACAAGCCCTAAAGCAGCAGGAGCAGCTGAACTCTGGAGAAACAGGGATTCTGATTTCATACTGTCATGAAAATAGCAGAAGGGAAGTAAAGACGCCACAATGGTATGAGTAGTCTGAGCCTGACTGTTTGTTCCAGTTTGGCGCAAGAAGGCATTGTCTACTTCAGAGAGAATTCTCATTTGCTCTTTCCCCTTCCTTCATTAAGCAACTGCAAATTCTGCACCTCGAGATTTATTGGAGAAATTATGAACAGCCTGCAGAAGCAAACGCTTGCATGAATAGAATTCATACTTTGACCTCACAAATAGAGGTGTGCAAGTCTACTTTCCAAATGCCATAAATAACCTGGGGCCACCTACTCACTATAAGAGCTTTCCTACACCTAACTTTTTCCCTATTTGAATATAGAAATACTTCTGCAAGAAACAAAGTTCACTATATATGCCATTTCATCTGCCTAAGTGCTTCAGCTTTTGAGAACAATATTTCAATGGCTCCTTCAATCTATAATTTGGCTGCTTAATTGAACAAGTGAGTCCCCCCTCCCCCCAAACAGACTAGATTCAAACTTTTGTCCCATCACAGATGGAAAATTTACAGGGAATGGTTGAATTGTGGTGACCATCAAACAGCAACGATTTCTAATTCACATAGGACGTGAACCACTAACTAATGGGTTGCTCTGTTAGCTCCAAATTGCAGTATAGCATTAGTCACTTGGGCTGAAAATCCACACTGGAATCAATACCTTGGCTCCACATTTAGAGCCATTATAGGTAACACCACAATTACCAAGACCTTATACTCCCCTAAGAGCTTCTCCTATTTAAACTTTTATATCTCCTCTAAGAATTGTAAGCCATGGATATGAAATCCATTATAACCCAACATCTTCCCAAGGCTGTTGACTCGAAGAAGGCCAGTGACAATATCTGCAACCAATTTGGCATTATCAAGTAACTTACATCTGTCTGGGGACATCAGTGTAGAGGCTTCAGCAGGCATTCTATCTGACCCTTCTGTGCCAGTTTCGAAACCTAGAAATCAAGCTCAAATATGGCATTTGCTAAATGCCCAGTGTTTGGCTAGTGTTTCATCATCTGAAGAGCAATGATCTCCCATCAAAAGTAACACCAACTCTGGATTAAATACATTCTGTGGCATAAAAACAATTAGAGACCATTGCTTCTCTTTTTATGAGTTAATGTATAATTTCCCTATGTTATTCTGGGCTTTGTTGCCTCAAATAGTAGGAAGCAGAATTGCACTGTGTTTCTTGGTTAGGGAAAGGACGGTCACACTGTAGTTTCATGGAAGGCTATAGACAGGTTAAGGATCTACATAAGTGCATTTTAAAATAAAAGAGCATTGATACAACAGTGAAGGTGAAGTGGAGCCAGACACAGCAACTCACTCATGCGACCATTCAAGGACTGCTGTGTTATTAAGAACTGCCTAACATCAACAAGCCATTTTTCCCAGAGATGAGGAACTTGCAGCCCCTAAGATGCTGTTAGACTTCACATCCCATCAGCCTCAGCTGACATGACCAATTGTCAAGGATGATAGGAGTAGTGGCCCAACATCATCTTGGAGGAACACGGGCTCCCCATTCCTGCTCTAGCCATTAGAAACAATTCTTGCAAGTAGCCAAATCATATGTGTGTGTCCAGTTCAGTTAGCAAAGAAAACCATTAGTTCTATATATATATTGGGCGGGTGGGCCTTCATCACTGAAACATTAAACAAAGGTTATGCTTAAAGGAAAGCTCCAATGCAGAGAATGATTCAATAAATAAAGGAAATATTTCTCCTCTACTGCATCTTTGACAGACTCCTACCCTGCAAGTGAAAACCCTTGGTGGTATAAGTCAAATCATGCCAGAGGAGTAAAAGGGGACAGAGATCCTTTGTCCTCACATGAACAAGACTCTTTCCCCCACTACTTCGAAGATGAACTTAGGTTAAGTACATGTTAAGCTAATAGCAACTTTGAATTCAATGAGTTGAGTTTACAGTTTCCTAAGGACACTAACACTGAAGGATATCAACTTTGAAGTGGATAGTGTCAGTCTGCATGAGGGATACTGAAACTAAGGAGGTGGACTTACACCCAATGCAGATGGAATTAAATTTTTCCTCTGATTGGACAGCTCCTCCAACACCCGTCTAAGTCTACGGACTACACTTCTACTTCATCACCTTGGAACTATGCATCAGAGAAAAACATTGCAAGTGGACTCTAGTTTCTGTTTCTTGGGCGTCTCCTAACTTTTAAGGGAGTCTGTCTCACAAAAGGCAGGCAGGTTCAGCAACCCTCAAAGTCCCACATCATATTCACCCTCCCACCCACCCCCCAAAATGCCAAATATTCCCCAAGCTGGCTGGTCCCTTTCTCTGTCTTTCTTCATCTTAATACAAAATATTTACCTCTTTTTTCCCTCTTTATCTCTATAGCTCCATACAACATTTTATTTAACTTAACAATCACAATCTAGGAAGCTTTCACTGTTTGTAAACGGGTTGAAGAGCCTCTCTCTTTCTGATGAACTTTTCCCACTTTGTAATCATTTTACTCTCAGATTGAGAGAGAAAGGGGGTTGGGAAGAAAAACAATACCAGTAAAAGTAAAGCTTGAGCAATGATGGGTCAAACAAAGGGTTTTGGAAGAGAAGAGGTCATTTCAGATCTGCCTCAGCGAGGAAAGTATTGATCCAAGCCAACTCATTCACTCTCCAGTAACGTGACGTCTGTTTTGATTATTGCACAGTGCATGAAGTCACTTCAGAGATTTTCAATACAATTCTATCCATCTTGTTCTTTTCCCACAATTATTTTCTCTTCAGAAATGTTTTAAAATGATCAGGAATGGATTCGTCAGTGTCAGGATGCATCATCGAAGCAGGAATCCAGGGGCATCGTGAGGAAGGAGTGACAGGACAGGCAGAGGGTTTAAGAGCATCCACACCTGTCAACAACCATGCCAGGGATTTTGCCATAGATTATCTGCTGTTTGTCATTGAAGTACAGCATGTTGATGGGGGACATCTTGGTGGGTGTGCAGCAAGGCCCAGCTGAGCCCCGGGGATTGGCCTGCTGCACCAGATGGGTGTGAGGATATTTCTGCATGAACATATACTCGCACTGGCCTGAACAATAGTTGGCTTTGTACCGCTTGGGGGCGATAATCCAATCCCAGCCGAAGGCCTCAAAATCAACAGTCAGTGGGTAGCGGCAGCAACGGGACTCAGTTGAGTGCTCGTCGCAGTCTAGTCCCAGGTTCCTCCGGGACCGTTTGTTGTTCTCCAGCACACGTAGCTCCATGAAAGGGTGCTGGGGTGGGAATGGAAGGGAGAAATCAAAAGAGTTACATGTTGATGTGCAATGTCTATTTACCCACATCACAAAGACAGAGATAACTAGCCCCATAGCAGGAGCCCAGCTCACAAGGATAGTTTTGAAGCACACCATTTCCATTAATTATCATCAGCCCACAACCCATCTTTCCAGCCCCATCTGTCCTCTTGCTCTGTATATCTTTTAAAACCACATATTTATCTCCCTAGCCATATCCCAGCTCTGTCCAGCTCGAGTCCTTATCTGTCCTTCCAAGACAAGCCATCTTTTCTCCAATCCTAACAATACTTATCACAGCGTACAGTAATTTATCCAATTCCCTGTAGGAGCCTAGAGTATTGCTTTCCCCTTTAGAAAGCCAGGCACAGGCTGACCATGTACAGCTCGCTCCCTCCCTCCTTCCTTCCTTCCCTCCCTCTCTCTCTCTCTCTCTCTCTCTGTGTGTGTGTGTGTCTATACGTTCCTTTAAAAAAAAAGTAAACAAGAGAGAATGCAATATATGGGCTGCTGACCCATCACCTGCTGCCAGAAAACAAAAATGAGGTGCACAATCTGACAAGAGAGACCAAGAGATCAATTTGTAGGTAGTGGGTGAAGATGTGAAATAAAGGGAGCTCCATAAGGAATATGTGCATGTCTTTATGTGATTTTTCAAACCATCTGCATATAGCAAGGTTTCAGTTAAATTGGTGTGTTTTGGCAGAGTAATTATGCCTAACAGAATAAGCTTCAAGGGACAAGTAAGAGATTAAAGATAATAAAAGGGGAGGGGAAAATAAACCAAGAAGATATATTTTTATAAAGGAAAAATGGGGGAGGGAAACAACCTTCAACGTTATTTGAATCTCAGTAAATTACTAAGCGTCTGTTTACATGGAAGACTAGCTTAAGGCTAACAGAATAAGATTGAATCATGAATGTATGTATCCAATAATCTGTAACATGCAATCTCCTTCAGAAAATCAGTGAATTAAGATGCCACTTCAAAATGTGATATCCTGCCAAGAATATCAAATATTTTGCTGAATTCTGGATATTTTACAGGCTTTGGTCTGAGTGTTAGTGAGACTTCAGAGCTAGCACAAATAGGAATTCTGCTGTCTTGAGTTACATAATGTTCAGCCTTTGTGAAGTACAGAAGGTAGATGGTGGTTTTATCTGTTGGAGAGCAGTGAGAGTTGTGCCGGCTACCTTAACATGGTTATTCCAGACCTGTTGATGGGCTATTTACACAAGTGGAGGCCAGTAATATCAAAACGTACAACGATTTTGCTGTTTATTTAAAGACCAGCTAAGTGAGTGAGAGATGCTCTCAAGTAAGACTTAATACTATGATTTGGCATGTAAGCACACCCCTACCCTACGTGCAGTACAATAGTATCACAGCCCTCAATGAACTTGTAGGAGGCAGGAGGAGTTACAACCAAGAGGGCAAACCAATAGGTATGGAAGGGAAAGCGCTTCCCAACATGTAGCTCACTGGTGACCCTGTATGTATGCAGCAAAACAGTGAATCGGGGCACTGGGGCCATCACTAGTTCTGAAAGACTGCTTCTTCTACTAATCTTCCACTTACTCACTTCAGCACAGCTTACTGTAATGCTGCAACAGGGAACTGAGGCATGTTCTCAGTTCCTGACGTCAGCAAACACCTGTAGCTTGAGTGAGCTTTGTGGGAAAGGTATTTCTTTGGCCTCCAGCTCTACGTTAGAAACTAGGATGGAGAGAGAAGAAAAGCGATGCTCCTATTTACCCACCAGGCCTTCAGCACCAGGCCCAAGAGAGGTGACGGCCAGGTCATTGCCATTGGGATCAAAAGCGTTGATCTCGATACCCCAGTTGTTCTGAGGCTGCTTGAACCAGTTCTGCAGTACATGCTTGAAGTCAATGCTCTGCCAGTGGCCAATGCGGGAATTCAGGTCAATCTTGAGTGAGCGGATACGAATATGGCGGCTCCCATCCTCCGTCACTGGTTTGAGACGCAGGATCTGTAGGTAGACCGTGGAGGTATGCTGAACAGGCCGCAGGTACACCCACAGCTGTGCCTTTACTACCTTGGTGAACATGATCTTGGGGCTGAAGTTGAAGAAACAGCAGTGCGGGTTGCCTTCAATCTGTACCACAGGGTCCGCTGGCAGAGAAAGACAGAGAGAGAAGCAGTGAGCAGAATTTCTTCACAACCCATTTCCCAGTGCTGCGGTCAGGGGGTTCTGCCTAAGGAGCCATTCACACAGCTGTTTATCACATGTATGAAAGTACTTTCTTGTTGATTGAACACAGTGCCTGTCAGTGGAGGTAGTCTTGTACACAAATAAGAGGCCCTCAACTGGTTGTGTAAATCAGCCTCAAGTACAGTGAATATTAAACTCTCCAGTCAGGTAGTCTTTTTTCAAGCTACAACTCTCTATAGATCTGAAGCTAAAAAATAAAAGCAATTAAGAGACCCCCTTCTTGCGTATCCTAACAAATAAGGGAAGAATAAAGAGGTACAGTGGTACCTTGGGTTACAGACGCTTCAGGTTACATACACTTCAGGTTACAGACTCTGCTAACCCAGAAATAGTGCTTCAGGTTAAGAACTTTGCTTCAGGATGAGAACAGAAATTGTGCTCCGGCAGTGCGGCAGCAGCAGGAGGCCCCATTAGCTAAAGTGGTGCTTCAGGTTAAGAACAGTTTCAGGTTAAGAACGGGCCTCCGGAACGAATTAAGTACTTAACCTGAGGTACACTGATTCTCAGTTGGGAAACTGGCAGCCATGAAAATGGGGCACTAAAATCAGGGGGCGGTAGCGTCAAAAGGGCTTGGGTGAGAAGGGTCACGATACAGGCAGCAACCATTTCATGTAGGGGTTCTGTCGGCAGAGCACACAAAAGTATGCCTCACCCCATTACGCCCCCCCTTCCACCTTCTTCTGGGTCCAAAAGGACCCACACATTGGCAATTACATGTCAACTGGGTGCATCTAAAATGGCACTACCTTATATAAAAAAGGTTATGCAGCCTAGTAAAGTCAATAGCCTTCTAATGGACAGAAAC